CTTTTTACTGTCATAGAATGTTTCCTTGACTTATCAATTTTAGTTTTCAGAGTATGAATACTGACACCATACTGGGACACAAAACAAGCCTCAACAAATACAAAAAAAAAATTGAAGTAATTCCATGCATTCTATTGGACCCCAAAGCAATAAAGCTCAAAATCAACACTGGACAAAGCCCTAGTCACTACACAAACACATGATGATTGAACAACACACTCCTAAACAATGAGAGGGTCAAAGGAGAAATTAAGAAAGAAATAAAAGAATTCCTGGAATTCAACAAAAAGGACAATACAACACAACACAACCTCTGGGACACATTAAAAGCAGTCCTAAGAGGGAAGTTTATAGCTCTAAGTGCCTACATTAAAAAATTGGAAAGAGCCCAAATAAATAACATAATACTGCAACTGAAGGCACTGGAAAGGTAAGAACAAATGAAACCCAAACCCAGCAGAAGAGAAGAAATAACAAAAATCAGAGCAGAAATTAGTGAAATATAAACAAAGAAAACAATACAAAGAATCAATGAATCTGAGAGCTGGTTCTTTGAAAAGCTAAACAGGGTAGACAGGCCCCTTAGCCCAGTTAACCAAAAGAAAGAGCAAATTCAACAAAATCAAAGATGAAAGGGGAACCATCACAACAGACACCCAAAAGATCCAGACCATTATAAGGGAATATTTTAAAAAACCCTATACGCTACTGAATCTGAAAATCTAAAAGAAATGGATGGATATCTGAAATCATGGGAACCTCCAAAGTTAAACCAAGTAGAGATCAATAGTTTAAACAGACCCATAACATATAAGGAAATTGAAATAGTAATACAAAGTCTCCCAAATAAAAAAAGCCCAGGCCCAGATGGATTTACAGCAGAATTCTACCAGACATTCAAAGAAGACTTCCAACCAATACTTCTTAAATTATTCAAAATGATAGAAACAGAAGGAGAACTCCTAAATTCCTTCTATGAAGCCAGCATCACTCTAATACCCAAACCAGGTAAAGACACACCAAAAAAACTATAGACCTATATCCTTAATGAACATAGTTGCAAAAATTCTCAACAAAATATTTGCCAACTGCATACAGATACACATTAAAAAGGTCATCCACCATGATCAAGTCAGCTTTATTCCAGAGATGCAGGGATGGTTTAATATACATAGGTCAATAAATATCATAAACCATATAAATGGACTCAAGGACAAGAACCACATGATCATTTCAATAGATGCAGAGAAGGCCTTGACAAAATTCAACATGCTTTTATGTTTAAAGTTCTAGAGAGAATTGGGCTGGAGGGAACATACCTCAACATAATTAAAGCCATATATAACAAACCCACAGCCAACATCATTCTAAATGGAAAAAAACTGGAAGCATTCCCATTGAAATCAGGAACCAGACAAGGCTGCCCACTATCCCCACTTCTCT